TGCATGTGTAAGTGAGCTTACATTCACAGTGAGCTGACCTGTGTTACGCCAAGTGTAATTGATTGTGTGTGCGCTGGTGTCTCGGTGTTAAGGTTAATTTCTCTAACTGCTGGTAAGTGCTGTCTGACCGCTCCCCTGGCGGCTCCTCCGAGCTGAAGTAATGCCACTTAGAGGCCCCGGGCCTCCGCCACCGGCCAGTCCATTGATTCACTGATCAATAATTGCATCTGTAGCGTACACTGAGGAAAAAGGAGGGAGACTCCTGCACTTGGCCGGCACTAGCACAAACAGAGCAGCTGGTGCAGAGGCAGAGTCGCAGCACATCAGTGGTTATCAAACTGCAGTCGAGGGAACACCTCAGGGTTAATTAATTAGGATTTTTCCCATTTGGAGAATAGATTCTCTCTCGTCACTCTTATCTTCCCGTACTGTGCACACTCAAAACAGATGTGAGTGTGTGTGTAACAGTAACAGTTTATTTGTACCGTTGCCACAATTCTGTGAAACAGTGAAGGTAATCTTCCTAAATGCCTATCGGTGTAATATCTGAACAAAAAATTTCCTGCCTACTGTATACATGCTGTACTGACAGTATTCCACTTTCTCACATTTTCCATGATTGTTGTTGTTTCTACAGCCTTTTCACATTTCCTCTACAGATTCATTTTTGTTTTACGTGGTGAGTTCAATACATACAGCCCAGTGAAGGTATGATGTCAGTATTATTGAAAATCCTCGCATTTGTATAGTATCGTCTGGTGACATTAACTGCAATTACAGTACTGTACCGTACTATACTCTACTGTACAATACTATACTCTAGTACCTCTGTATGTATAACCAACATGGTTTACAGTTGTTTGACTGTTGTTGTTCACAGTATTATCTGCAGTTAATTTGTTTGTTATTCTTGTACTGCAATATCTCAGGTAATTATACCTGCAAACCAGACGGAAGGATGTTAAGAAACACCGCTGATGTCTTTTACCTGCAAACCAGACGGAAAGATGTTAAGAAACACCGCTGATGTCTTTTTCTATTGCACCATGCTATATACCCTTCATACTCTGTACTGTACTCTGCTGCTGTCTTGTACTGGTCAATTAAACAAAAAAACAAAAAAATTCCGACCATAACGTAAAAAGACTATAAACCTTACAGACCATAAAAGACGTGTCTAGTTGGACGTCCTTCTGATCTGGTTCATCAATTAGGAACCAAAACCTTTCATCAACAAAATTCTTTCTCTTTTTTCCTGCACCTTTATTTACCATTTCTTCCATGTTGTTAAGTTAAACGTACGTATATCTTCATGTACCCCCAGAGGTCCCCATACCCCTCATTTTAGAACCCCGTTCAAGGACATTTGTACAGGAGTTTACACTGGTCATGATGCAGTTTTCTTTCCTCCAGACGTCTCTGTCTTCTTCAGACCAAAGTGACCTCACCGCCCGTCTCTGCCTCTGCTCTTCTGTTATTCCTCTCAGGGAGCCTCCATCTTGTTTCAGATCACAGCCAATAAAGCAGCCTGTCTCCTTCCCTCTCTCTCTATCTCACTCACGCTCTCTCCTACTTCCTGTTAAAAGAATCAGTCACTCAGAACACTCAAAACACATATTAAACAGGCATCAGCCTCTTGCCGGGGCCAAATCACGCTGTTCAAATGTTGTTCTTCCACCGGGAGCGCAGGACAACTGAAGAGATGGGATCTGCAACATTAACTTGACTCACGGCTGAAGCCACTGAGTGACACTCCATAAACCTCAGCGGGCCGCCCCCCGGGCCCCCCCCCCCGCCCCCCCGCCGCCCATGAGACGCGCACCCCTA